GATGATGTAATGGTAGAAAACCTCACACGTGTGTAATTCTGATCAATCATATTTCAATTTTCAATGCTTAAGATTGGATTTGTCGCTTCAGTTCCTCAGCGTGACAAATTACTCAAAATCTGGTACCTGAAAACGGATCTCCGCCGCAAGTTCCTTGCCTTGATAGAAGAGAAAAGACCCCTTGTACGTGTCTGCCGGCCAGGAGAAGCAACCACCCTTGGTCAGTATTTGAGTATCTACAGTGCCATTAAGTTGTTTCAAAATAATAACCTATCAGATCAATCAGGAACCGATGGACAGCAAAAGTTGATTGAATCAGTCCGCAACCGTGCAAACGCCCTTCGCAAAATATTAAACCGGTATAACAAACAAGTCAGCACTTTTGTTGACAGTTACCCCGACCGCCCTCATCCTAGGACCTTGGAGTATACAGAGCTCTTGAACCTCGAATCGGAAGATGCGTTTTGGAATGACGGATTATTCACAAATCAAAACCAACCATGGGCCGTGGATCAAACTACTCAAGATGGCATCCGCCACCTTGCGGCTCTCAATCGTGGCAATGAAGAGCAACGACGTGTGGGATGGGAGATGCGAAGGGCAATGCGATGGGCAGTCAATTGGCATGAAAAACTTTTGGGATTGAGTGAACAGATGGAAACTTGCTCAAGAACCGAAGACGAGTGGAATATCCTTATATCAGACCCAACCATTCGCACCCTTTGTGAGCATCCAATTCTCCAATCACTTGATCGACCGAAGAGGATAATGGCCGCCAGGTCTTTGATTCATTCTGAGATGATTAAAGTCTTCCAACTGCAACGGGCATGGAACCGAACATGCTCTACTGTTTTCAATGGAACCACAGGACAGTTGGGTGATAGCAGCCTCTATCAGAAGTGGATACAGCAAGTTGACCATGTGGAAAATGGGTCCTACTCAATTATAGATGGAGATCCAAAAAACCAGGCTGTTAACCTGCACACTGGGACACATCATCAGACATCCCCTTTAGAAGCCGACAATGATAGAGAGGAGGAGGAACTTGATGATGATGGGCACCTGGATGATATATCACATATAGTGCATCAGACCATGATGGATCAACTTGCAAATGAAACAAGAGATGGAGATAGAGGCAGTAATGTCAATGATATTGAGGAGTAAAGTGTGCATTTAGCTTGTCTCATGTGGTGGTAGAAATAAACTTTGATTACATGTTATCTTATTTTTACTTGAAAATTAGTTTCTTGTGCAGTTATAAAATCTGGTTGCAACACTAAGAATATTGAGAAAATTTCATGATATGATTGAAAGAATAAACTGGCTACGAAGACGTAAAATGATTCAATGTAAATTAAATTAAGTGGAACAGCTTAGGCAACAGCTTAGGCAAAGTATCAACAATCACTTTGGTTATATGTCACACTTTATCAGAGAGGACTCAACTTCTTATGATACTTGCTTCCCTGATAGATTTGTCAAAGAAGTGATAATTTGAAATAATTGAAATGCATTGGACAAGTGAGTTCCAGATACCAACACAAATGTTGGTTTCTAGATATTTGTGAATGACAGGAATTGATGTATTTATTTTTACAGAGCCATATTTTTTGATGGGATAAGTTAGATGTGGCCTGGTTCTACATATTTGCACAAAATCAGAATGATCCTATGTGAAAAGACTCACTTGAATTTTATATAAAATAAACCTTGAAGTGTGTGCTCCCACTTGACAATGTGCTTATATGATATGAATAGTTGCACATGAGTATAATAAGATGTTGGTAACCCCAACTTAAAATGCATTCATTGCATAATGTAAAGACTCTATGTTCAAATAGATTACTCATCTATTTCAAACAATCCAAAGTAAATATTCAATCAAATTGAAAATTTTGGAATCATACATTGGGTAACTCAGTTTCAATGTGGAATCCTTCCATTTTCTACTTGGACCATATATTAATCTCATGAAATATTTTTTAAAATAATCATTTTCTGCATTAACTCAGAAATAACTTGGCAGTTTTTTCTCATTAAAACAAAATGATTCTATACAAAGTCCTATTTTGATTTTATACTATCATGTTTTTCCTGAGTAAATTCCCACTTGATCTCAGCAACACAGTTTAGTTTTTATTGATAAATATTTTGACATAATTTAAAGAATGAAATAATTACATGTCATTGTCATTCACAAATCATGATTGATCTTGGTCCAATGAAATTTACTGACAAACAGAATAATACATATATCCAGTATTCCATTAGCCACCTGGTGTTGTATATATTTGAGTAATTTATCTCTGCACCAAAACAAGTTCTGATTGAAAAAACAATTTCTGTTTACTCCAGATCTCCTCCTACTAGCACTTTGTTCTTGGCAAACCTCCCAATCATGTTATTCAACCATTGTTTGAGGGTCTTGATATGAATTCAAAATATCAAAATGATAGATCAGCATGAATATTGGTGGCATTGAAATTTCTATGATTTCCACAAAGCAGCAGTGGCCAGAAACATTACTTTTGTTATGGTAGGATCATGGAGAACTTAATAATTTTATTATTGCTTTTAATTCTCCTTGCTTTTGACTGTAATCTAATGCCATCTGTGTTTTTGGATCACATAATCAATCAAAATCTGTTTGCGGGGTAGATTGGACCAGTGTGGAAAAAGAATTAACAGAATTGAGCTCATGAATAGGTTGGAGTTCAATTCTCACTCTGCTACATGCAGTTTGACAAGTAGCAATGGAACTAACTTGACAGTTGGCTCTGAAATCAAAGCCTACCTTCACTTGTGATTAGTGTAGGTGTCAAGGGGCCAGTTTGGTGCCTGGCATTGTGTCAAGGGGCCAGTCAGGTGCCTGGCTCAGCTGCATTATTCCCCTCCTGTGTTCGACTCCCCATCTTGACCATAGTATATCTTACAAGTTTGGATCATGCTGAAACAAACTGAAACAAACTAGAATCTCAAATAGAAAGTAAAAACCTCACCGGGTCAATCCGAGTCCTGACCCAGTCCAGCCTGAACCAAACTCATTTTTAATAGATTTGGGTTTGGGCAGCATTTTTCACAATGCAACCCAACCTGCATTACTTATTGGGTCGGGTTTGGGCACTGTTTTTGGACCCAAACCCAACCTATTTGCCACCTAAGATAATATCAACAACAATAAAAATCTTGGTGAAACTTTGAAAGAGTTTGCTGTACAAACAAATCATGTATCAACAAATCCAGATTTTTAACAAAGGAAGGAAAGTCTTGAGTATCTTGACTGCACCCAACCCCACTATTATAATCAAATTTTCCTGCTTTTTGATGGATGCATATCTAGCACAGGGATCAACATCACAATAAAGAAGTAAGTGTTTATTACTCTTTTTTAAATTCTGACAGGCAAGCCACCATAGTAGCACTCAAAGTGTTGATGAGTAGATAACAAACTTTTCAAGCACAAGATTCAAGCTGAAAGAGTTTATGCAGCTGAAAGAGTTAATGACATGTATCAAAGTGAGAACTATAAATCCTCTCAAAGAAGTTTGATTTGAACTAAATAGAGCACCATGACTGAAGAATGCCAGTAAGTACTAGAAAACATTGTGATAAAATTTAAGTTGAAACAGGCATATTGTGTTCAGATTCATGACTACTCATTGGTGGAGTCATCACAACCGTTTGATTACTCTTCATCCTGATCATCATTCTCAGAGTCAGAATCAGTTTGGTTCAAGTTAAGTCGAGTGTTGTCTGGAGGTGGGGATCGACTGGAAGAAGTTTGATCAGTCTGTGCAGAACCCTGGATATTGTGTCGTAACTCAGTGTTTGAAGCGGTTGGGGTAGGGAGAACTGGCACAACTTTAATATATCCGCGATCAAGATCAAGAAGCAACATTGAAACATGTGTCTTCTTGAGCTTCTTGTTTGATCTGCGGAGCCAGTTGATATCTGACACAGCCAAGTGGGAGAGTTCAAGTCGATATTTGGCCTCCGCGAGTCGCTTGTTGTTATCAGTCCAAGGCCAACTTGTTAATACACCATGAGTTTCGCGATCTGCAAAGCAGTCACAAATTAGATAGCCCAGAGTGTTTCACTGATCACGCTAACACTCACTAATATGCACTGCCAACTGAGCTGTCAATTGAGGCAGGAGGTTTCGGAGCTTTTTCTCTAGACAGTTCAACATAATCGCAGATGAATCAATTTCATGATGTGGTCAATTGATCAGAAGAAACAAACTTACTTTGGTTACCAGGGAGTTTGTTGGCCACAGTAATCTGGCCAACAGAGTTACCTGTGAGTAGGGCCTGAAGTCGAGCAGAGTAGTGATTGTCACCATCCATCTCTAGGATTGTTGTGTGCTCTTTAATAGCGCCAGGGGTACATCGTTCAAACTTGAAGCTGTGGGAAGAAAGATGCTTTGAAACAGCAAATATGACGACCTCACAATTGCAGGTCTTTGCAATGTTGAGGGACTGTAGAAAGCAATCAACCAAGTGTGTTGATTGAATACTGAAGTTGTTAGAGAATAAAGTTGCTTACTTCGGCTGACCACTTGTTTATTGCTTTCTCTGCTTGATCCTTGCGCACCAAGTTTGATACAGTGCCACGGAGAAAGGCTTGGGGAGCTTGTCCCCCACCTGAGCCTAAGGCCCTGTGACCAGAATCATCCTCGCTTTCGTCATCAAGAGCCAACTCAGACGGAGTGAGATCCTCATCTCCTCGACGTGGTTGAGAATCCCCAGTTGGCACCGCTTGTTCAATAGTGATATCTGACACTTGATTGGTTGCTGCCACAGGTGGGGCAGTCAAAGCTTCTTTCTCCGCTTCGGTGAGCTTTCCATAGGCCACTGAAAGCAGGGCCATTACCTGCTTGTTCTTAACTCCTCGACCATCTGACAGTGAGGAGAAACATCAGGCGGTAATCTCCACATTCATCCATCAAACAATAAAGGGAGGTGGCTTACTGGCCTGAAATATAGCACGGGCTTCCGGTGTTTGCAGAAACCGATTCCAACGATTGGCCTCGCGGATAGCGACACGACGTCCCCTGTAGAGGAAATCAATTCAGTTAGTGCTTTGATCAGGATGGCTGATAGTGAGTCGATCAGGATGGTTGAACGAGGTACAAAATAAGTCATTTGAAGGATGTCGATTGTACTTACAACAAGGTGTGAATCATAGGGAGTGATACTTGCCGCTCGATAGCTTTGATAGCCAACATCACCTCTTGCTGATGGTAGAAATCAAGGAAGAACTTTTCATCATCGACGGAGAAGGCTTCCTTCGAGTTTTCCTGTGCAATCTTGCGGAGCTCGACGGCAGTCATCTTCATCAGCTCTTCTAGGGGCTGAGGGTAGCGAGGGTTATGGTCGTCCTCCGGTTCAACCTGTCGTCGCTTTCGGGACTTGCTAGGAGCTTTATTCCCCACGCCATCGAGAGGGGGAGCAGATGTGGGTGAGGGCTCAAGGGTTGCTGACGATGCCATTACTAGAACAAAAAATAGAGATAGAAAGTTAGCCGTTGAGAGGGAAAAAAGTCGGAGGGATGGGATGGGCCTGATTGAAGGAAGCAATCACATACCAATTGCAGTGAAAAGAGTCCTTGGAGTAGTCGAGGATGGTGAGTAGTTGAGTCCGTCGTCAAAGGTAGTCGCGTTAGAGGTATTTGAGGTCTACTTAGGACACCGGTGACTTGGCATGTTTGAGGGAAATGCCTCACCAACGGGGGTATTTGTGGCTTCTGGGAGCACCAGCCGGCTTCCGAGAAGCTTCTGCTGCGTGCACAGCAGATCATCCGGGTCCTCGAACTTGTCGAAGTTCAGCAACATGTAAATGTAGGCTGTGTAAGGCAGGCGCGGGCTGCTGGAGGCAGTCGGGAATTGACTACTAGATCATCCACATAGGCTGGTCTATGTAATGATCTAGTAGTCAGATGTATGTCTACTGTGGTGATCCAAACAGCACTCTACATAAAATCATGGAATTTACAGGATGTTTTGAGAAACGTCCCAAATAGAGATAAATATGGATCTTCATAGAATTAATATTTTGCACATATTAAGCTTGCATATGATGCAGAAAATCATGTAAAAATCAATTCACCACCACAATTGTTGATGATCAAAGAAGATCAAGGAAAAAGGGTAACAAGTAAAAGTGAATAGAGAGAAAGAGAGCACAAGTAAGAGAGGGGCAAAGCAGAACCAAGACAAAGAACCAGAATTTAACAATAGCATTCAATCAGGCTGTAACCTGAATGAAATGTACACTTATGTGATTGAATTATTTAGGTGTTGATGATGTTTGAAGATGAGACTCCAAAAGGAATAACAGGTGTATCAGGAGTGAGTTTTATGAGTACCAAATGAGAAAATAAAATGTAGACAAGTTACAAATAAAATAAGCAAGAACCAGATAAATATGTTGATCTACATCTATTTGCATGAATAAAAACAGTGATTAAGGTATTTTATGTGTGTATGAAGGACACTATGAAACAATGGGGTTTTCTAGGGCAAAAAGGGACCAGTATCATGCTATAATACGTATATATAAAGACGAGAGAGAGAGCCAACTAGCCAGAAAGTAGAAACAAATGAGTTGATTGCGTAAACCAGGCTAACTGAAGAGAGTAGGGTACGTTCTACATATCGACCAAGTCCCAAAGCCTCAAGACTTCATTATAATCCTTCTTTCTACGTCTACGAATTGAGAAGTAATCGAATCTAGAGTTTGTCACCCTGCCATTCTTGATCACGATCTCTTGTTGTTGGTCATCTTTAAGCACATCCTCATTCGATCCAGGTAGCATACATCGATCGACCGCCAGTTTAGTAACTTCTTTCTCTAATCTAGCTCGATGGGCTCGAATCGATTTTAACTCATCTTTACTGATCATCAACATCTTCACTAACGATCTTGTCGCTCTCAACTGTGTGAGTTTTGTTTTGGCCCAAAAAACCGCTGCGATTAGTTCTCAACTCATCATTTAATTTTGAGTGAGATAGTGGGGGGAAGGAGAAAAAGATGGAAGTTGAAGGGGGAGGGATGAACTGACAGTAGCAACGAGATCTTCAAGCCATCTTAAAGTGAACCACATCCAGATCGGAAAGACAATTAAGACGAGAGGAAATATCGGGAGACAGACTAATAGTACACAGCCGTAGGTCGCCAAACCACTCGCTAATCCCCACAACATCTTGGTTTGAGTAACCTTAAAAGTAACACATGATCAACTGTCAAGATATTCCTGAAAAAAGGGGAGGGGGAGTTCACATTACTGACTTCATCATAGGTATCCCAGGCAGCTAAAAATCACCCTCGTCCCCCACGAAAAAGTAACCAAATATGAAATATCAATTGGAGAACCAAAGTCAAAGAAGGAGAGAAACGTGAATGAGGTGTGTAGAAATGAGAGAGAAAAGAGACTGACGTCCTTTAAGTCTTTGGCGATGGGCAAAGTATCCAGTGACGATGAAAGTAGGAATCCAAAAGCAGAGTCCAGGAGCACAAATAGAGAGGAAGAAGGCGGCGGCAGAGACTCTGAATGCAAGACGAGTGAGGATGACTCTACGACTGACAAGACGATTATTAGCGAGTCTGGCGTCTTTGAGGCCCAAATGGAACAGCATTTGTTGATAGTCGAGTAAGTCTTTGACGAGTTCCGTATGGTTTGAAGGGGAAAGTTGAGGCGAGGTTGGGGAGGGTGTGGAGGAGGGAGAGGGTGTTCTGCCGGCAAAGACGTCGACGAAGCGTTGGGTGAGACGGATGTGGGTGCCTAGACTGAGTTGAGTGCCAAAGGGTGCATAGAGTGTTCGTGCCATATTGGCAGCCTTGATGAGATCCCATGATGGCGAGTCTAGTGTGCCCGCCCGAATTTTCTCAGTGAGCGTGGCGGTGAGTTTGGCAATGCCCTGTTTACGGCACTCCGGGTCGGAGGCGACCAGCTCGGCATTAGTTGGGTCGGAGGATCGGAGGACGATGGGATCGTGGAAGGAGACGAGGACATCCGAGCGGAAGTTTTGACGATGTAGGTAGGTGATTGAGCATGGGAGTAGGTTGATTTCAAACTTTTCTTGGTTCTTGAATTGGCAGAGTACGTCAGAAGCGATCCTAGCCGCGCCGGTCTTAAAAGGGGCCAATGCGGGATGATAACGGGAGATGCCCTCTGGGAAGATGCAGATAGCATCCCCCTGTTGACAGAGCGCATTCATCAGTAATTCCCTCGTCACCGAGTTATCGATTCGGGTCTCCGGCTGATAATCCTGTGCTCGTTGTAGTGGTACCGAGCCTGCCTTCTCGATCAACCAGGATGAGAACGTCGGTTTCCTGAAGTGGGTCGCCTTAGCTGTCATCCTGAGCATCCTTCGTGCATGGCGCGGGACTGATGCCATGATGATCAGCGCATCCGTCAGTGAGTTCGAATGGTTCACCAACACGATCGTCGGCCGCCCATTACCAGGTATCCTGTCCGGATTCTCGATCACGATCCTGGAGAAGAAGATGGCCAGTACGAATCTGAAGAATGAGATGACAGCATGGTAAGCAATCGGTGTCTCGGTTGGATAGTTGGGTACATGGTAATTGCTATCATCTCCGCCTCGATGTCGGTCCTCGTCTCCAGCTTCGTCCTGGTGATGGTGGCTCTCCATTGTTTTTTGTTTTATGTCTTTCTTTTTTCTGTTTCGGCTTGAGAAGCCAGTCACCCCCCCCCCGGTCAGTCCCCAGTCAAAGCAGACCGGGGGTCCGGGGATCAGTCCGGGTCACTTCATGCTTCATTCCCCTGCCCTACACCCAGATGGGCTTGGAGAGGAATTGTTTACCTGAACCTCTTCCAATTTTAACCTGAAATAATTTATCATTGAATCAGGAGAATCCTCAGCTATTTAACCAGTATATACAGGCCATCGGGCCTAGAGATTCCTCACCTTGATGGCTGGCTAGATATACTGGTTTGCTCATCAAACCAAGACAAACTTGTGATTGATGGACAGTACACACTGGCTATAGGCCTAAAAAAGTCTTCAACCCAATTAACACAGGATTTACTGGTCATCAATGCATACAATCAACCAAATTTATTGATAGTCATTAAATATTGACCATCAAGATACAACTAAAAAAGGAGCTGAGAGACCTCTGCATAAGATGTACCAGCTCAATTTCCAGTAAATCCAACATAACACTCAGGTCTCTTATCCCTGGTCAGTTTCTTTTATGTGTTTTAGAGAAACAAGACACGAAATGTCTTGGGTAGGAGATCCAGATGCACCTGGGCCAGGATCATATGAATGAGGGCCCAGGGTTTGGGGTGGATGAAATATTTCTGTGAGACTGCAGTACTTCAAACCCACCCATCTTCCACCAGTGTGCATGCAAGAGTATGTATCAAAACCTTGGTCAAAACATCACATTGCCACCACAAGAAAAGTCAAGCAACTGCTAGCAGGTGAAATGCCACAAGCACCAAATAAACTTCAATGCAAGCTGAGGTCAGTGTGTTGACATAATTTGGTGATGCCACCCTGAGACCTCAAAGGGGTGGACCAGACAAATGTACCATGAAAGTTTGAATTGAACTCAAGTTCAATACAGAGTAAGTTCTGAGCTCTTGCATTTCAACTGACACCAGTTGTTTGACTTTTTTGTTTAGTGTACTTCAAAAAGAAAATCTTTTCATTGATCACAGCCACTGCATCAAAGCTGGATTGAATTTGTTTTTGGAGTAATTTTTGGGTAACAGGAGCTTCCTCAGCAATTCTAAAGTTTGACTAGAATTGAGTGAGGTTTCAATTCAGTGTGCGTCAGAAGTTTGGACCCTCCATTGAGCCTTGACACCACTTTTACCTATGGAAAATTGAGGAAAGGAAGACTCTGAATTACTGGCAGTGAGCACCTGTGGGGCTAATTGCTTTCCATTTTCATTCTGAATTACCAAGGAAATTCAAAAGAAGGAGATGAATGAAGACAGTAAGTGTAGAAGTAAATCCTCTTTGGCCTCTATCAAAGATTTCAAAAGACAATATAAAAGGATTGAAACCCATATTAAAAGACAAGAAAAAAATTCCCAGATATTGGGTGTAGTTCCTAGCTCTATCCTCTGTAGAATTCTTGATGTTAGATAGATGAACTATCTAAGCAATTGTTGAGTTTCAAATGGAAGTATCAAAAATATGATTTGTAAAAACAGAAGACCTGAACAGAGTGTGGCAATTTGAAGATGCCACTAGGATTTTTTTTGAAAGAAATTCTTGATTTTTTGAATCAGATTCCAAAATCCTTTCACAATTTTTTTCCAGAAGGATGGTTTATCTTCTTGATCAGATTTTTGGTTGTCCTCTTTTACAGGAGTTTTTTCTTGATCAAATTTTTGTTCATTGTCTCTCAGAGAAACAATTTTGTCTTCTTGGTCAAATCGTGGTTCATCTTCTTTGAGAGAAGTGTTCTTTTGACTTTTGATCCATTTCCTATATAATTCTTCATAGTGATCAATCTCCCAATAGCCATGTTTGAGTCGACCACCCTCTGAATATCCATAATTTTCAAACATATTCTTTTCCTCAGGATCATCAAATGGGATCAGATCATAAAATTCTTCTAGTTTCCTTTTTCCAAAATTTCAGATCTCAGTGCTTTGCTTCAAATGTAATGTTTTGTAATAGACCAACTATATTAAGAAGGAAGAGATGCATACATCTTGCTAAACTTTGGCTCCAATTCCTCTGTTATTTCTTCAAGTGTGTCCCCTGAAGTAACCTTATTAGCAATTTGAATTGGCCTTGATCAGGAAAAAAAAATAGCAGAAAGATTTTGTGAGACCAATTTACAATTTTTTTTTTGGATAATTAAGAAGCCTTACAGTTTATCATTCTTCTGGAGCCAATCCAAGTGAGTTGAGATTAAAATGGGGAGGCCAAAAAACTTTGGACTTTCAAGAAGTTTCCTACCATGAATATCATATCCACTGTCCATTCAAAAAAATATAATCATTTGATCACTGTCCATTTATTTTTGGATAAATTGAGATGAAATTCTACAAACTGGATGATTTCCCTATGAGAAACATCATAAAGGATCTGGGTCCAAAAATGACTCCGGTCCCTGAGTGAATCAAATCAATGATCAGAAAACTGATTTGTGAAGTGTTACAGTTACTGGATATTCCCAGTGATGATAAATTGCAACCCACTTGATTTCTCTGTCAAAATCAAGAAATGTCCAGAAACATATGGATCAATATCTGGATGGGTACTATAATTGTTGGATTGTTTTCAACTTACTGAATGTCTCCCAACTTATGATACCTTATTCCATAGAATTGGCCTACATCATCCCTGCAATTTTATATCCAAATTATTCATCAGAGAGGTGGATCATAGAATTTCACAATAGAATGATTTTTTTATGTAGAAGCAACTCAGATCAAGCCAAATTTACTTGATTTCTCTGTTTAGGATTTCAGATAATTCAGAGTCTATCCCAAATATTCGTGGAAGAAGACGGTTGAAGTGTTCCCTTGTTCTTTAAAAAAAACTCACACATCAGTTTTATTTGTAAATAACACAACAAGATTACTATTTAAATTTTAACAAAGTTGAAGACTCACATCATTCTTGAATCTGTGAAGTGGTAACTTCTTGAAAATACTTGAGCTGTTTTGGAAGTGTTTTTTGGTTCAATTCAGTAAGACTTGGTGGATATCCTAATCAGATCTATGTAGTTGGGGTTGGGTATTGATAAGACCTACCCGGCTGGATATGAGTCTCACTTTTTTGTTTTTTCCAATTTTCAAACATCGTTTTAACCTTCTCAGAGTTCCATGCATCCCCAGACAGATCTACAGCAGCATTTCCCCCTTGCTTATAAATAAAACTTTCAAGATCTTCTCTAGAGTGTTTGTATTGATCATCATTTTCTGAAAGCTTGTCAATGATACTAGATAGCTCACTGTGTTTTGAAAATCAGACCATTTAAGATTTGCTGTGTCAGTTTGTAATCATGTAATCAATTTGTGCTTTTAGTGTTTGAAGTAGAAGTAGATGCTTACTGTTTTCTTAAATTGTTTTCCATAAGTTTCAGAGTGGTAGCATATTTCACACCAATTTCATCCATGGTTACAACATAAATATTTCTTGATCAAAGGAGACAAAAAATAATCAGGCCTTGTTTGAATACCTATACATTGGGAACAAAAAACTGACTTTTGATCATGTAATTTTGCCCAATCAATGTGAAAAGCAACCATATCTGAGATGTGAAGCTTTAAGTTTTGTTTCAAATGTTCCTTTAATTGGTTTTCTCTAAAATATGATATTAGTGGTAGGAATCAATGATTTGTAAATTTAAGTTGGCCTTCCTCATTTGAAGACCCTATGAAACTGTTGAAACCATTCAAGGGAAACTTACATGTATGAATCAACAAACTGTTTCATTTTATCTTTGTCCAATTGTAGGACATCCTGCATCTCTTGACCAAAGATCTCAATTGAGCTTTAAGAATTTAAATATCAGACCACTCGATTGATAATGATTGTTTTGATGAATCTTGAGAATCTTACTTTATTGGTGATATTTTCCCCTGAGAGCTAATCATACATTCCTCAATTCAGAATCAGGAAATCATGCCATTTCAACAAGAGAGGTGTTGCACTATACCTACATATTCATGATCTTTTGAAGCAAATCATCCACAGTCTTTCCATTATTTAGTTCTTTAGCGTGTGGATTTCTAGAGAATAAAAAACCATTACAATGGAAGTAAATCAAAACATTTTTTTTTCCAAATAAACCAGTATTGAAAAAAAAAATGAAACTTACTCCTTCACGTTCTCCTTAAGCCAGCCCAATTGGATTTTGCAGACTTCTATAGGATCGATTCTCAGCTTTTTGAATTGTTCCTCCCTTTCTTGCAAATCCTTCCCCATATGATGTTTTGTATAATACACCCTAGTGATCAGAATAGTTAAGAAAATCATTACTATTTTGAATATGGTATTTTGGGCAATAATACTTGAAAAGAAAAGAAAATAACACAAAATCATCCACAAAAGCATTGATCCTCTCTGGGGTTGTCTTCCCATCTTTAACCGAAAGGGTGTAATATTCATTCAATGATCTACAGAAACATATTTTGCATGATCAGTGAAATTCCTGTTCCTCAGAGAATATCATCATTATTTTTTCTTGGTCCACAGCTGACTTACACAAAACCCTTTTTGTGAAAGTACATCCCATAGACCGGATCATATTGCAAACTGTGTGCAGAAAAAATTTGAGGGGTTTTAACCAGATCTGCTGTCTTGCTTCTGGGAGGTGTTTGGGAAGAGTGCTAATCAGGGTGAGGTTGATTGAAGATAACTCTTAATGAAGCCTGCTTACAGATGGAATTGATTATCTTGTTCCACTAGGCTATGCAAATGGGCAAGTTCAATTTAACATCAAAAATATCAACTGAAAGAATAAAAAAAAAGCTTTAACTGAGGTCCTATTTGACTACATACTTGGTATGTCCAATCTGTGGCAAATCCCTGGATAGTTTGATCATGGTAATTCAAGTTTCAAAATTAGCTCTTGTCATCGATAACAGTGGCTCTCCCCTGACTCTCGACAGCTACTTACTGTTCGCAACTGGTCCATTGAGAGCGTCCAACACAAGAAATTAGCTAGAAAGCTTAAAAAAGCGACATGTAGATCCATTTTGTTTGTGGGAATGGATTTTGGGGGACTCACATCCGACCATTTCCCCCCACTTTCAGATCTGGGAAAGCTCGTTTCGACAAAATCGCGCCGGCACATGGGGTATGCTTTATAGCGGCGAGCATGAATAGTGCGCCATAGAAGGCCAGCGCCCCGTGATGATGAAAAACCATGGACTGGTGTGTGTAGGTTGGTGTGATGTGGTAAAGAAAATGACCAGGCGGTCACTGACAAAAGGGTAACGCACTAGAAGAAGAATTTACTCGCCAGTAGCTAGGCCAGGATCCTGTAGGCAGATATTGATGAGCTCCGGCATCGTCCGATTGCACTGCAGGCCCACAGAGCCTCGGGTTTCATCGAGTCAGCAAGAATTAATACACGGCCTCAATGAACCTCGGACACGACTCATGAGACGAATCTCGATGAGGTAATTTGTAACCAAATGTGATCTTACTGACGATGCGACTTTCTGTAAAGGAGGCCGGGTTCCTTGGACTACATATGTACGCTGGCGGTACATAGTCAAAATCAAGTGGAGAGTTTCACGTCTAAGTTAGCGCTCCGCCACAGGCTGGAGGCTTGTCAGTTGGTTATGTACACAAGTTGTTGTTGGCAGAAAACGAAGTGATGTCTTGTACTCCCACCACACTCAAGAGAAAGAGAGGTATCTTCTCTTCATGTGTCCAGGGACTTCTGGAGGCCGCTCAAAACATCTTGTTGAGGGAGGGAGCCAGCTGCCTTACGAACTTAACGCAACTCCCGATTCCCTCCCTGCGGTCGGCGAAATGGGACAGTGGCTCTCTGTGAGACAGAGACCCTGCGGGACTGCCCTCCGGGCTCTCACTCGGAGGCTTGTGTCAGGCTCGGCTGGCTTATGGCAGTGCGCAGGTTGCCATTTTTTGACCCGCCTTGAAGTTGGAGCCAGAGGGACTTGAGTAGGTTGTCTTTTGGAATCTGTCCACAAGGCAACATTGGTACTGCCGCTTATGAGGAGGGCCTCCAGAACGCAAACCAGGTCGTTTGTTGAACTGGCTTCGTTAAACTACCTCCTCATATAACTGATCTCTCGCTGAGTCAGTGAATGCCATCCTGATGTCTAACCAAACTTATCGTTGTGGGTTTTTTTATTTGTTTTCACCCACGCACGAGCGGACGCTCAAAGGGGCGGGATGTAGGGCCAACATCGGCGACATGGGCAACGTAGACTTCGGTAGAGCGGTTATCTCAGGTAACTCGTGTTCTTATTGTCATTGAAAGAATGCCTTTCAAGGAGGTACCCTAAGCAGCTTTCAACTGAACATACAGCCAGGGAGGAACCAGCATTGACGGACTGCTGGAGTGCAAGACAGACACAACATCTTAAACAGGTCCAATAGTTTTACGTCGGAGGCAATTTTTGATGAAGGTCTGCTGCACAAACAAAGAGGCAGACAGATTGATGATACAACGATAGCACGCCTAGTATGGAACACAAGAAACAGCAGGGAGGAAGGTAGGACGGTGGATGCAGTAATTACGCATGAGATCTCGACGGTTGGTTGGCCAAACAAACGAACAAAATTTGAAATTGATAAAACCGTTATTGAAATCTTCACAAGTCAAAAAGCCTATGTCGTGCCAATGGTCAGTCATTGTATTGTGTTAATGGGCAGTAAAGACTGAACGACTCACAATAACGGAAGAGCTTATCAACGATAATTTATGATCGTTCACCGCGAAGGCGACGAGCAAGTTGGATATCCTTGGGCTGGATCGTCACACGCTTGGCGTGAATGGCGGCCAAGTTGGTATCTTCGAACAAACTGTGCAGGCCATACAAGACAGGTCAGTGGAAATGAACGAGGAGCGAGAAGAGTGAGATGGTGACGTACGACACAAGGTAGGCCTCAGCTGACTCTTGCAACGCCCCGATAGCGGAAGACTGGAACCGGAGCTGGATTGATAAAAAGGGCATCATAACATGGAAATCAGGTAGGTTAATCAAATGCTCGAGGTATATTGGAATAGTATGAAATAGGTATACGAACATCGGTTTTGAAGTCCTGGGCGATTTCTCGGACGAGACGTTGGAATCTTTGTGAAGCGATCAAGAGATGTGGATGGACAGGTGATGGAGAGAGTCATGGTGATGGTGGTGTATGTATGGAGGGAGTGAGGGGGGATGAGGAGTGTCAGTTGAGCCGCGGGCGAGTGGTAGAGGGAAGAGGAAGGTGCAGAGTGGGAGAGACAACATACGGGAGCTTTCGAATGAGGAGCTCGGTCGACTTCTGGTATCTTCGAATCTCACGAAGAGCGACGGTACCGGGTTTGTATCGGTGAGGCTTCTTGACACCGCCGGTGGCCGGTGCCGATTTACGGGCGGCCTTGGCAGCCAATTGCTTACGTGGAGCTTTACCTCCGGTGGATTTACGGGCAGTTTGCTGTTAAGAGAGGGGTACGGAAGGAGGAGCGGGAAGAAGAGATATGTAAGTACGAAACGAAGTGGCATGAGATGGGCGACAGGTGGGGCTGTTGAGATGAAGACGGAGGAGGCTCGGCGAGGATTCTATGAGTGGTTTGATGGGTTCAAACGACTGGAAGACAAGCACAGTATACGGGGCGAGGGAGGGGGAGTGTAATAATGTAGTATAGTTAACAATAAGTGTAGTGTAGGGTGACATCACGAGAGCGGGGTTTACTCTGGAGATGAGTAGCAGAGAGAGTGAGTACAGGTAGGGGGGGGGGGGTAGGGATGGATGGGATCGATTCCGATGAGGAATGAGGTCTCGGTAAGAGACCAGCTCAGAATCCGGGAGACGGTCAATCTCAGGCAGGGAATGTCGGATGGTTATTAGCTCGATAGTGAAAGGGAAGGAGTAGGGTATGTAGTCGGATGGACGGGAACGATGGAAAAGGAAAGAAGGAGGGAAGAGTGGTAATGGAGATGGATGAGGGAGGAGTGGAGGTCTCCCGGGTTGGGGTTTTGTATCGAGTGAAGGACTCGATGAGCCGAGTAGGGTGGGGTAAGGGAGACATAAGAGGGGACCGAGAGTGAAGACTGACCTTAGTTCGAGCCATTTCTGGGTTGGGTTGGTTGAGGGTAAAGGTTTTTTAGGATGAGGATGGATGGATGAAGGAAATAAATTCGGAACTGGGAGGGAACAGAGACGGGGTGAGGGAGGGAGGATGGAAGGAGACGGTCAAGAGTGAAGGGTTTATATCAGGTTCCCGCTGAAGGGGGGCGGGCTATGTAGAGATGGACAGAATCTTTGTCTTGTCTTGTCTTGGGTTGCGCTGGTTGTTGCAAAATGGAAGAGCTTTGCTTGGTTTCCACCATGAGCTTTCACTGCTCGCTGCTCAGTCTTCCAGTACACTTGCAGTTGCGCCGGCTCTGCTGGGCGAGTTTTTTTTTACCAGTGGTGTCCCAGTAGAAGAAGGCCTTTTTTCTCCCCCGGTACATAAATACTTTCCACCTCAGTTTTTGACCTCTCATTATAGGAGGACTTTTACTAGGGCGGTTTCTGTGAGAACTTCATGCTTTCTTGTGAGTATGAATCGGGCGAGCCTTCAACACATGGCCCGCCATGCCACCCCAGTCTTGGTCCAAAGACCCGCAGGTTCATTCAAGATCCTTGATCAGACACAAATCCTTCTTCAACTCTGCTCCAAGCTCGTCGACTCGTCAAGACTTTTCTAGAGCTCGAAAGCAGTGTAACCTGACTGCTGACATCAACGCCGGATGTATGTAAATGTATATGTACAGTAATGTAAACATTTGGGGACCGGGCAAAAGGTCTTCTCGGTCACAAAGGGGATTGATTATCTGCTATTATGTATTTATTGGCTCCAACGGGTCTAATACAGGGTTGGTTGGCGTGGTTGATCCTGAATCCTGAATGCTGATTGGTCAGAGCTGAGCGCGAATTCGGCGCGTAAAAGCCTACCTGAACAGGTCTGAAACTAAAGCTGTGAAAGGTAGTGGAAAATCAATCCCAGGAGCTCATTCAGAAAAGCAAGTCTCAACCACTTCCTTAGTCCCAACATACTAAAACTGGTGTATCTAGTCATGACTACAAAGATGGACTCCACCGAGAAAATCAGCCATTCTTGGAAACACCAGACAGTGGAATGAAAAACAATGTCTGATCAAAAGAACATCCCACCTAAATCATCAGCAAGATTATCTTAACTCACATATGATTCATTGATCAAGGGTACTGTGCTCATTCAGAACTCCCTACATAGTCAAGCAATCTGAAAGGATAAAAATTTGATAGATTATAAGCCAACAAAATTGTTTTGCATCAAGTGACACCCTTATAAGATTACAGATGTGTAAGTGAATCTTGAACAATCATAGTGCCTGATTAGCATTTCAACTGTCCGGCCTCTATCTATCAAGACTTGTGAAGCCAACCTCAACATTCAGACACATTTTTCAAAAATCAAACTTGACAGGTTAGTTTGTTGCCTGTATCTCTTAGGAATGGGAAGCCCAATCAAGTCAATTATACCAAATTCATTTTTGTAAGCATAGTAAAAAAAACTCATTAGAAATCAACCAAGAATGGATCATGTGCTGTGAAGAAGCATGTTAATTCTTTCTTGGAATTTGAATCATAATTCAAAAAATTAAAAAAAAATTAAGCAATCCCTTTTGTGACTTTAAGGAATTCATAAATTTTCTGAATTTCTTCCCCATTGCTTTCTTGTTTTCCACCTTGTTACCATTCTTTGATAAGATCAGCAAAGACCCTCTTTGACATGTATTAGCCCGGTTCACAATAGCCAGTCATCAGCAAAATTTTTAGCTGCAATCAGCAAATCATTGATACTTAAAAACACATCCATTTTTGAATGTGTAGCCCGGAGTCCCCCATATTATTCCAGATCAATCCAAAAAAAAATTTGCTATCAGCAACTTTTAACAAGTTAACCGGCCATTGGAACTGGCTATTGTGAACCGGGCTATTATTTCATTTTACTCACTCATAAAATGTGTATGACACTAATTATGAGCCCATATTGGTTGTGTATACATGCTCCTTCCCAGAGACTTCCTGTCAGCTGCTCCAGGCTCAGCAGCCCCAAAGCATTCACTATTCTTTCTTCTTAGGTCATACTCTCTATTCTTTTTGGCCTTGTGTCCAATTTATCTTGAAATACTTATGTTGGATTGTCTCCAATTCATACATATTGGATCAATAGCTCATTGCTAATACTATCAAAAAAAGACTCTTTTAGATCTACTTGAAAACAGTCTAAAACAGTTGTCTTTCATTTGGAATCACTCTTTGCAGGTGCAGATCCTTAAATCCACTTAATTAATATTGATATTCATTTCATTCCATCAATGGTTAGGAATTTCAAATGGAGCAAATGTAGACAAATTCCAGAAGAAGATTCCATGTATTCTTCTTTTCTTTTTTTGGCATCCTTTTTATTTAACACCAACATTATTGATGGGCTCAGATTTGTCGTTGCATTCTGCATCCTAACTAGAAAAAAGTACCACAATGGCAATACTGCTATGGCCACTGCCCCTTTGTGTGTGGATTTCTTGTACTTTGTGATGTGGCACTTTGGCATCTTCCCTGTTGCCTCAAAGCTAAGGAAACATTTTGTGCGATGAGTCTCTCTGCATTAGGATTCACCATCAGTTAATTACTTAATTCTAAGTCTAATCCTGCTTCTCAATTTCTCTTTTCATTTTCACTATTTTTCTTCGATTATCTCCTCATTCAAAAATCAATATCCTTAATTACATGCATTGTGAAAAGGAATTGAGCTTGTATGCTTCATCTTGATTTTTACTCTTGTCACTCGCTTCTGGACAGGTGTGTGTGGCTGAGCTCGTCGTACTTACATGAATCATGTCTGAGTCGGGACGGGCTAATTGACATCTACTCATTGGGTTCCATTGGGAATGATACATGTACTCTAGTTCTTCAGTAAGAATTCATCTTCAGAAAATGCTTGATAGTCGGGCCTCTTGAGGCTTTGAAGAGCCGCAGTTTTGTCGATCTCAATGTCTTGAATCAATGCTTCTAAGGAATCCGGGAAAACAAGCAAACAGGAAGGAAAAAATAATCCAAAGATGTTGCGATCAGTTTTCTCACACAGCATGGTGCAGAAGAAGAATAGCGGCACCTTTGGAGCTGTAATTGTACTCAGGTCGGATGAAACCGGTGACGATCACTTTAACGGTTTCACCATAAAAGTCTTGGTCGAAAGTGGGGATCACATGAACCTCCTATGGAATGCAATAGATGAAGAACGAGGGTCAGGTGGGGATTTTGAGTCAATTTCATGGAAGCAGGTGGAAGTATACTGACGATCGTCCGAGACTTGTTGCCATAAACTGGATTATAGCCGACACTCATGACCATCGGTTTGATGACTGGGGGCAATGGGTTAGGCGAGGTGATCCACACGGAGGCCCAACCAAAGTAGACACCATTCCGTTCAAGTGCAGGGTTATTTGTGAGTGTTGCGGGCAGGTTTGCTGTAGGACAGCCTAACTCTCGTGATCCGCGTTTGAATCCATGCTCCACTTTGCCATACAGTTTGACCGGGAAAGGTGGCTCGGGTCCATCATCAGGGCCAATGATCGTCGGCCTTGGTTCGTCTTGGTCGGTAGGTCGTTGTCTTGGTGATGGTGTATTATGAATGGTGGAGGATGGCGGGGCTCGTGGGGCCAAGGATGACATAGTGGGCTGGTGGTATTTTTGTACAGTTGTACTCTGCCCTACTCTGCCGCCTTCTGCTGTATGCTGCTATGTTTGACGGGTTGGTTGTGTTCGAACTTCGGGTCCGGGTAGAACATTACCTTCCCGGCCCCACCCCTGCTGAATTGCTATTCGGGCTGGGTTGGGGCCGCTGGGTATTTGTGCTTTCTGGGCCTGGGCCCGACCCTGGTCCATCAGAGGCGTGAAAGAGTCGGATTCGGGTCTGGTCGCTCCGACCAATTTGCAGGCGAGCCGGTACATGCATATCCGGACAGCCAGGGCCCATTTTTTTGTTCAAGTGTTCAATACGTAGTAGTACCCATAGAATAGTGCATTTTAGTCGTGAATCTTGACCCAAAAAATTCTAAAACTGGTCAAAGCTGCAACCCTGGATGTTTTCTCAGGGCCATAGATTTTTGGGTCCACCTTTTTGCACTTGTGGAGTGCACTGGTGGCCACTCCAATGACTTTGGAGTACACAGCCAGACACTCCATCATCTGCACCCGCTCCACTTTGTAATTTAGGAGTGCAGCGCTGTGTACTCCAAAACATAGTGGAGCGGAGTGCACTGCCAGATATCCTACCCACATACAGTCAAACCTGTCTAAGGGCATACCCCTTGGGAGAAGAATTTATGTATGCCTGTAAACAGGTTATGCCCTTAGAGAGAGGGAATTTGCAGCAAAATCAAGTTTTGGGAGAAGCCCTTCACTATCCCCTTATACAGGTTATGCACACAGAAAGGTATGCCCTTAGACAGGTTTGACTGTATCCCCCAAACCAACCACCATCAACACTCACCATACTCTAAACCCACCAAACAAGACTCACCCTCAATCATCTCACACTCCAAACCCACCATCTGGAGGAAGTAGATGGGGTGAAGTCCATTGCTCCCCTCATGCTGGCAACTAAGTGCACTTTGGAAACTGCTAAGGGCTGGTGGAGTTGCATACATCAGGCCCCAGGGTCTGGTTTTCCATCACCGGGTCCTTGTGGATTCCAAAAAGGTTATTTAAATCTCTCTCTTTCTGTTGACCAGGCCTTTATGGCTTTCAACAATTACAAAAAGATTATGTTTTTGTCAAGTGCA